AGGGAGAGAGGGGAAGGGAGAGAAGGGAAGGGAGAGAAGGGGAGAGAAGGGAGAGGGGGAAAGGAGGAAACATAATCGGGGGAACAAGGAAGCATTGAAAAGAATTGCGATCACTAGAAAGAGTGTTGAAGGAGTGTTCTTCAGGGGGGGCAGTCGGCCCTTGCGGCAGAAAACTGTCAACGGAGGGGAATGGTGAGACGGTGCAAGAACTGCCGGCACCTTCCCCCCGCCTTGGCTGTCCGAGATCAACCTACTGCTACACCCGGCAGGCTTGCCTGGCGTTGACCAGGCTCGAGACCCCCACTTTCTCTGTTAGCTTTCTATCTTGCTGAGAACTTCTCTGTCTTTGTCTGTCATGCTTGCCAGTGATAAGCAACGGATTGGTGCCCCCCAGAATAGATGGGGCTTTGTAAATAAATATGGCACAGGCGTTGTACCTTGGAAATGGAAAATGTGCGGCTGGATGGGAATGAACGTACTGACATTATCCAGCAACATATACAAACAGGAATTCGGGCAGAAAGGGGGATGCGACGAAGGAGGAAATGGCATTTTTGGCATTTTTTGCACACAAGGAAGGAGATTCAAACACAAATAAAGCAATTCAGCAACAATTGGCTGGGTGGGGATCAGGGGGGATTGATGACTGAGGTAAGATGGCAGGTTGGAGTGGGCATGGACGACCAGGACGGCCCCACCAAGGACTACCTTCTTCACTTACGTGAATGGACGGTCATTGATGGATCGGTCCCTCTGCGCATCACGTCTGATCTTAGTGACCCCTTTCCCCACACCCTCTCTCTCTGCTGCAGCTTCAGTGGTATGGGATGTAGAACATTTTGGGGAACGGCTGTATCAGGCGGTCTAATCAGGACTGAAGATGTTGTTCCCATGCTTTATGATGAATGGCTCTTGTTATCTTTAGTCTAAGCCGGGTAATGGCCCCGGTCTTGTTTGTAATGCTGTCCATACTCAGAAAGGAATGCTGGGCCTGATTCCCAGCACGTGTTGCTCCCCACGAATAGATTGGAGCTTTTTGAAAGAAGAAAGAAAAAAGAAGTTGTCAACAGCATTTCCATTCGAGCTTGCTGTGGAAGTGCTGCTGCGGTCTTCCGCTGCCAAGCTTCGAACAAGGCTGAGAAGCATATCATAGAGAGTAGCCGACAGCGCCGGGGCACCATAGCTTAGTTGAGCGAGAGAGACTAACATCAAAGTGAGGGAAGACATTCGAAGAGAGAGAGAGAGTGAGGCCTGAGGGTAGCATGGGGATTGAGCGAGGGAGAGACCCATGCCTGTTTGAGGTTGTTTGGCGGCCATAGCCACCCGAGTGGCTATATATAGGACTTTGTTGTGTAAGAGTTTGTGTTTGCGAGCAATTCTCATCTCATGTTGATTTGCATCTCGTGTTTGAAGCTTGGTGTGATGAAGTGTGAACTTGATGTGGTGTGAGAAGAGGTATGAATTCATGAGATCATTGCACCTTTCCTTTCTTACTAATGGTGTGTCACTGGTCTGGATTATATGCGTACATCAATTGCCACTGACATAGAGGAAGCTGTGTTCTCGTTATTTATGTTGTTTCTTTGTTCAGGTTGCTGCGAGAAGAATTGCAAACACGAAGTTCTGTATCAACGCCGGGCAGATCTGCCTTGCACCTGATTATGTGCTTGTAGAGGAAGTCGTCGCTAGCCAATTGGTGGGTCCACTTGAAGCCTTTGATGTGCTATACTTCTGTTTTTTAGCACTCGGTTTCATCATGAACAAGATTTCCTCACACTGATGCTGGCCCCTAACTGGACACGTCTCTCTTGTTTTCTTCCTTCTGGACTGGCGAGGACCTGCCAGAGATCTGAGGACCTCACCTTAAGCCCTTGCAACAAGATGAGTTGTGTGCCCCTCCTGTTAAGAGGTGTGGACCTTAACATATTGCGAGGGCCCCTACTGTTAAGAGTTGTGTGCCCCTCCTGTTAAGAGTTGTGTAACCCTCCTGTTAAGAGGTGTGGACCTTGACATATTGTGAGCTTACATGCTCACCAAATACTGGAATCCCACCAAGAATATCATTGATATTTTTTTGTTCCCATCTTCGCTGGAGAATTTACAGTCTTTCAAGCTCGATGCAGTTTGTCCAACTCTTTTTTTTATTTCCGTCCAACTATTTCAGACAGACCACAGTGCAATCAGACTCGCTTTCTTCTTCACTTGGCATACATGCAAACAGATGGTAAACCACGCTGGCGCTATGCGCCCACACAAAGCTCAGAGATATTCAAGTCAAGAACACAGTTCGGATACAAACTCGCTTCCAACTAGCTATGGCGACTGAGCGCCCACGCAACCTCTGTCCGGCACTGTATTCATTCAACTGTTCACACGCACTTGACTCTGGATCTCCCTGGCTATCCCACTCACACAAAGTCTGTATCACACAATTGTAATCCTTATACTGTTGCTGATTTCGCAGACATTGTTCACTGGATAGAAGAAGAGTTTCCTGCTGTCTGCCCAGAGGACGACAGCGCTGCGCCTGGGGGGAACATAGAAGTCCTGGCTATGGCATTTATGGGTAGGCGACTGCAATTCCGGCCTGCTCCGCAAAACCACGAGCCAGGCACGGATCCGAATATTCGGGCATATATCTTATATCGTCCAGGTCACTTCAGTGTTCTTTCCTTTGCAGATAATTCACGGACCCTATGGGACAATGGCGGTAGGGTGCACACAGTGGGAAATATTAGCTCTTTCTATCACCAAATGCTGGAGGGTCTGGCCCTTCCATTAGGAACAGTATGTCGATGAGCATCTGCAAGCACTGCACCCCCCGGAGAGCAATCCTGCTGATTCTACCACAAACAGTGAAAGGACCTCTCCACAGGATGATGGCTGTGCCCTCCCGTTGTGTCGTTGCACAGGTGCAGTTCGGTTGGCATGTACACAACATAGCCTATGCTCTGAACACTATGAAGGGATGGTCGCTGCTAGCCTCTCACACGAAAATTGTGATCCCCTGTCCTGTGCGCATCCCCCCCACCCCCTGATTACTTGCTCACCATGCTGTTGTGGCCGTGATCTGCCATGCTTAAATAACTGTGCACGTCAGCCTTCCATACTAATGACATGTCAGCAACATGCCATGTGTCGTCAATGTTTCCAGGAAGCTGTCATAGAAAGTATGTCTTTACTGCATGGACTATCCCCGGTGTCATCACCCTCCACATCCTCTTCTGGCATGTCCCACATGCGGTGTTGGTCATACATGTACGGCAACCACTGACAGATCTCCCTCTTTCTTGCCAGACGAACGATGAACACAGCAGTCCGAGGAGGAAAATAGACTTCTATCTGAGCCACCGGCTGAGCGATGTGCTCATAGTTTATCACCACCAGGGTGAGCTGTTGCGGATCATATCCTGCAGCAGCTGAACGCCCTTGCGTTGGACTGATCCTCCCTGTCGTCGTCTGCCCATAGAGAAGGAATACATACTGAGGAAGCCTAAGAAAGATGCTCCATGCCATTTTGTGATGACCCACCGGAGATTCAACTAGTATGTGGTTCGCATGCCTTGTGCTGTGAGGATTATGAAGGGATAGTCCACGCGAGTTTTTGCTTCCATACATACGATGACAGTAAGTACTGTACTCATGTACGGCACCCCGACATGTCATGTCCAATTTGTAGACAAGGGCTGGAACGACAATGCCTCTATAATTGCGGTTGACGTGCCTCTGTGTTCCTAGCATGTATGAGCCACGTAGCCTGTGACATCTGTCTGCGCCGTGCCATTCGATGCAACAACTGCGACTGCGAAAATTGGATGCGGTGCTTCCATAGCCCACACCCGAACCGGTCCTGTCCGGTCTGTAGGGGTGGCCACTCGCCATAGTGTTGTTGTTGTTGTTGTTGTTGTTGTTGTTTTTCAGCGGTGAATATTTAGAAATCTGTGAAGCCCGTCATACACCTCTCCTCTGCTCCTTGCATGTTATACTCTATCCTGCCCTCCACTTGTTTCTTTCCTTCTCGTTGCTCCTACCTCCCCTGCCCCATACTCCTACAGAACTCCGCCTTGTATCCCTTACCCTCCACCTTCCCCTCCACTCCCTTTGTACTACTAACAAATACATACGAATGAGCATCATTAAGAGAACAGACGATATGAAGATCAGAAATGAAATGAACTGAAGTATGAAGATGAAGGACAAACACAAAGATTGTATAAGCTGAAGATCTGAAGTGAAATGAACAGGAGTATGAAGCTCTGAAGAGATGCACAGGAGCATACCTTCCCTTTTTCTCTGCCTCCTGAAATAACGTGCAAGTGGGCCGTGAAGGCACACGGGGATGTGGGCAGCTGCCGCTCAACCACAATCAACGTGGGCAGCCTTGTGCGTAAGAGGCACAGTAAAAGGGGAGCTGCAAGAACAATGAAAGGGGTACCCCAAGGACAACCAAAAAACTGTCCAATTATAAAATTGCTTTAATATGTTGGACATCTCAAATTCTCTCGTTGTCTGAAATAGGACAGACTGCTTTGATTCTGAATCTATACACCTGGGTGGATTTAGGGCTGTTGTGGGGAAAATCTAAAACACACACACTGAACCCTTATCTCTAAGCTATAGCGGCTATGGCCGCTCAACCACTACTGGCTATGGACACTCTATCTCCCTTCAGCCCACTTCAACTTCGGGCATCCGCAGACCACCTTGCACAAGACGCCTGGGCAGCGCTTCCACATGGCTCACGCAGGAATGAATGAATGGCTGGACACTGCCTCTTGATTTATACTTCTGGTGGTCGTTGGTCTGCCCCCTTTCCACCGGGCCCTTGGTGTACACAGTCCCACATGGTACTTGCTGACTAGACAAAGTGACACTGGGACTGGGTACCGCTGACTAAGCAAGGTTGGACTCACTACTTGCCTACTTGCCTCTGGTCTGCTGTGAGCAACGTTCGAAAGGCCACTTCTGGACCTTCCGGAAGTCTGTGGACTTGGCCTGTCGGAACTGTGGCAGCTACGACCTTGACCTTTCAGGACTGTAGCAGCTACGACCTTGACCTTTCAGAATTGCTACAGCTACAGCCTCTACAAAACCTGTCTCTTATACACATCTAGATGTGTATAAGAGACAGACCTTGACCCTTCAGAACTACTACAGCTACGACCTCTACAACAGACTTGAACCCTACGCGACAGACCTATGGTTCAAGACCCGACACCTACACAGACCTATGACCGACAACAGTCAGCTACCAAAACACAGGTCACGGGTTCGAAACACACAGGGGTACTGTACATGGGTCAGGTGAGGTCTAGGGACCGAGCCCTGGGATCTGCATCTGCTACTGCAAAGGTGAAAACCGTCTTACTCCCGCCGGCCTAAATTCGAGGTCCTCCGAGAATACAGTCCAAGGCAGGACCCTTCCCTTTTTTGTCTCTCTCATGGGCTCGAACTATATCGGGAGCGGTCTCTAGAAGCTCTGTCCATGTGAACCAGTGGTCGTCTTCTGGTTCTTGAATACATCCTCGTCAACTATACGATCAATGTTGTACCGTTCGTCCATGTCTGGAGGAATCATTGACCTTCTTGACGGAAACTGCTGACTCGTCGTGCAGGTAACAACTTTGATGCGTGAAAAACTGGATATGTATGGAGGTGTGCTGGGATCTCAATCGTGTAGGACGGTCCATGCTCTCCGCCCTTGACTTCTAGGACTGGCCACGGTCCTCTATATGCAGGCAACAGCTTCTGCGAGATGTTCTCCTCGGGAGCAAACTCCTTTGACTTGACCCAGACTAAGTTGCCTACTTGAAACTGTGATGGGCGACGGTGTTTGTTGGCTTGTTCTAATATCTTGTGTTGGGCCGTCCTGAGGTTTTCTACAATGGTAGCTATCTATTTCTCGTGCTGTATCGTGAACTCCCTAGTACCGGGCGGTAGCCTCTGAATCTGATCCCGGTTCAGTCCTTGAAATGGTCTACGTGGTCTGAAGGACTTATGCAACTCATTGGGAGTGCGGCAGGTTGCTAAGTGCACATTGTTGTTGTATGCGCTGGCTACCTTGGGAAGCATCTCATCCCAGCTAACTTGATCAGGTCTAATATACATTATGAGAACTTACTGCAGGATTTTTTTCATTTGTTCAGTCTGCCCGTTAGTCTCTGGATGGCGGTCAGACGACATCAACAACTTGGAGTTATAGGCTCTCGTCAGTTTCTGCCAGTTCTGACTAGTGAACCTGGTATCTTTGTCACTAACTATCGACAGCGGTAGACCATGCTCATTGACCCAATGATCTAAGAACTTATCTATAACTAAATTTGTACGTGCCTCTGCGGGCAAAGGAACAAAGATTGCGTACTTACTAAATCTATCAACTATAACCATGATTTGGCTCTTGCCATGTCTACTCGGCATCCATAAAGTCAATGGACACAAAATCTCCGGGTCCTGCGGGAATAGGCAAGGGTCTGAGAAGACCAAGAGGGGCTCGCGTAGTGGTCTTATTTCGTTGGCACACTTTGCAACTGCGTACGTACTATGTGCAGTTGGCCTTCATTCCTGGCCACGTGTACGCGCATGTGAGGTTGGCTAACGTCTTCTGCCAACCAAAATGTCCCTCTGTGTCGTGGCATTCCCCTAAGATCAGACTACGGATCTCTTCACTGTTGGGGATGCATAGACGGTCGGCTATGT